CTGACCTCGTGATCCGCCCGTCTCGGCCTCCCAAAGTGCTGGGATTACAGGCTTGAGCCACCGCGCCCGGCCTAATTTTTGTATTTTTAGTAGACGGGGTTCACCGTGTTTCCTAAACTCCTGACCTCAAGTGATCCGCCCGCCTTGGCCTCCCAGTGTTGGGATTACAGGCGTGAGCCACTGCGCCCAGCCGGTTCTAATACTTAACGGAAACATAATCAACATTGCAAAAGGGCTTCTTTTAAAATGGCAGCTAGAAGGGTCTTAAGTGGAACTCACCTGAATATGAAGACTGATTTTCTAACGAAGACAGGTTTGGCAGATTACTTGGGGCAATTAATTGCCCTTTAAAGAATTTGGATGCAGCTCTGTCGGAGGCTGTTCTGATGAGCAGTGAGCAGGTTAAGAAGTGCCACTGGTAGTCAAGGGATAATTCGTAATGAAGGAAAATTCCCAAGATGCCTGCCACCACTAGGGGCTTCCCTTGGTGATGGTGGGGATGGACTACTTTGTGGAAGAAGAGGAGTACTGAGATGCTACCACTTGGTTGTAGGTTTTTTACTATTATTCCAGAACCTCTGGCCCCTCCTCAAAATCCCATGGGAATCAGCTCTTCAAGCCAGGCAGGTTTGGAATTGCTAGACTAGCCTAAGGGTGTCCCAGAAAGCAAAGCAAACAACAGGCAGAGAGGCTCATACAAGATGTACTAAGTGGCCCATGTCCTCAGGAAGCTTGTTGTCCAGGAAGGGAGAGCTCTGATCTAGAGGGTCACTACCCTCAAAACATCCCCTAGTTTGGACTAAGATGCTTTAGGCTACAGGGAAAAGGCAGCTATTTGCAGTATTTGAGTTTTCAGTTCTCTACTCCAGTGGTCTTTAAACCACTGGGTGCTCAGTAAAATCGCTTAAGAAGTTTAAACACACACTCTTTCTCCCAACAGCCCATCTTTGGAGAGTCTGCCTTTACCTTGGGGGACTGGGATGGGGACCAGTGTATTAGCAAGCTCTCCAGGTGAGGTACCCCTATTTTCCAAGCCTGCCCATAAACAGACCAGTACTTGCCTCAGACCTGTAGGTATCTGTCACATGGTCTTTTTTAGTCCTTTGTTCAACATCGGACACTGTTACCCTTCTGAGGATAGCTCTGTCTTGCCCACTGGGTGTGGGTTGTGTTCTTTCTCCACTGATTGGGGGAGGTACTCCACATAATCAAGTAAGTGTAAATAGTAACATGGGGCAGCTGAGCCAGGGGAGGTGGTTTACATTGTGTACACGTTTAGTGTCACAGAAGATTCTACAGCAGGAAAGCTGAAAAGTTGGAGAGAACTGCCCTCTGGTCAATCTTGGGATGCCCTGGACATTTCTGACTGGCTTCATTTTAACAGAAGCCAGCCTATCCCAGAGAATAGACTCACCTGAGTTTGGCAGGCCCTAAAAAAGCATTTCACCAAAATATTTCACTTTTAGTGTGGAGAACTTCTGGAAGTGGATCTTTCTCATGGGGAGTAGGATAGCCAAAAACATCCTTAAAGAAAATGGCCTTAATGTTTCAAAAGATTGGGAGGACTGGGGGGAAGTAAGAAAACAGAGCTTGATACATGTGAAGAAATTAAATAACTCCTCATATCTTAGAGCAGATTGAATTTACATTTTACTTAAAAAAGGGGGGATGGGGGAAGTACATACACAAGGAGGAAAACGGGGTGAGGAACAATAAAGATCTGAAATGGATTTCTACAATTTTCCCCTACAATGATCGATTTTGCCTGTTGGGCAGTATTTTTCCTGCTGGCGTACAGCTGCTTACGGTATTAACAAAGTTGTAGACAAAGGAACTGCCAAAGTTTAGGCCCAGATGGACAGGACAGTATGTTATCATATACAATTTTAGTTTACAATACACAGCATTTTCTTTAAATGATGTAACGCAGTCGCAAAAAGGAGTTAACAATACTAACACGAGAATAATCAAATTTTTGTTGTTATCCATGTGCAGCAACTAACTGCTTTACAAAAAAGCAAAATAATACAATATATCATCACATGTATTTACAGTGTAGTAAATATACTTTTTTGTCAAATTTTACACAAACTATTTACAAGTGAATATACTGCATTAAAAAAAAAATTGTGTGGCTGACACTAAGAATGAATTTTTGCCTAAATCCATTGCATAACATTGAGTAAGACATGCCTCATTATGCCTGGGAGTCGGGGAAGGATGTAGAAACAAAACCAAAAAACAAAAACCCCAAACAACACTGAAAACCCCTAAAACCTACAAACCTGGGAGGGTTGCTGGCTGGCACTCTTGTCTCCCCGACTAGGACACAGGATAGAAGCTGACTGTTTAGGATGTGTCCTGGGCACCTGGCTCAGTCATGAACAGGTGTTGAGTGAATGGAAGATAGAGCTGTAGCCACTTTGCCCCAAATCTAGTGAATTGCATCTGCATTTTGGCAACTAAGGGCACGCCCCTCAGACGTGAGTACTGGCATAACAGGTAGATTATCCAGGACAAAAACATGACTGAGTTCCTGTTTTCCTCTTTAACAAGTCAGGGGAAACATCTACAAACCAAAACAAATTACTTACAATATTCTTAACAGAACTTATGTCAATTACACAAAAATGGGCAACTTGCTCTAAACTTCAGAATTTCTTTTATAGATTACAAGTATGAAGACTAAAAAAGTGTTGCATTTCTCACGGGACACATAGTGGTGAGAGGTTTATCTCATGTACATTTTAGTTACTTGGAAAGCTAGATTTTCCTCAAAAGTCAGAAGTTCTTTAAACAAGGTAAATTTTAAACCTTAGTAAGTTTTCAAATTCCTAGGATGTACTTACTAGTCAAAGGTATTTCTGCATTTCAAAAGCGGCTCAATTTTGATTTGTGCCAACGCTGATCATTTCAGGGGGTATGAAATACTATACCTTGGTAAACTTGTTTATGGAAATATCGATATTTTTAACAGTAAAACCTCTGCAAGTTTCTCTATTTTGATGGAAGAGCAAAATAGCATAACACCCACTATCATATGCACCAAACCAACAAACAAAAAAAAGAAAAACATGGAACTAAAGTTATCAAAGGCTTACACTGCCTGCTATTCTAGGGCCTAGAAACTGTGAAACTTACCCCAGAAACACTGGGTTGTGGGAGAGCCAAGACCATGATGGCAGCTTGGCATCCTTGGCACTGGGTTACTGATCTATTTCTAAACTCAGTTCTAATTTCAGCTTTTATATATAGTCTTAGTTGCTCTGTCATTATAGACATTTTCTTCTAATGCAGCCTCTACAATAGTTTAAAAACAAAAGTTTAGTAAATTGCACCTGTCTTCAGTATTTCCAATAATGCTATGGTAAACTCACTAAGAACACTACAGTTTTCCTTCCTTTTATTTTGGCAAATAATTCTTACTTTTCCCAGGACTGTAAACAAATTAAAAAAATTAAATTCTTGTTATTTCTGAGTATCAAAAACAATTTTATTTACATTAACATATTACATTGTTACTGTGTGGATAAATGTGAAATGTATTATATTATTAAAATCAGAACACTTAAATGTACCATTATTTATTGAATTAGCTGTGGAATTTAATTTACTGAAATCCTCTAATGAAACAGCACTACAGGAAACTCCCCTCTCCCCTAGGTTTATTTTCCCTCCTCTCAAAGTCATTATATCTTAACATATAAAGGGAACCTGGGAGTAGAGGGATTAATATCTTTTCGTAATAAATATGGTTTAGTTCTAAATTGGAACATCCAGATACCAATATGCTCACTGAAGTAAAATTATTTTGTATACTGCAGGTACCACAAAGAAATTGGATCTGCATTATTATGAAAATTCCAATGCCATGATAATCCATACCACCCGTATAGCAGCAACTCTAATGGCCCCCCTATTGTCATACTAATGCAGGCTGACCAGTCTTTTCACAGTGATTAAATGCAATTCTAGCATATATAACCTACATGTTTTCTTAAAGAGGTTTCCGATTTTTTTGGAGAGGAGGAGGAAGATTAAAAGACATTCAAAATACATCTTATCAAAGAAATTTATAATATACACCATACTCTATTCTTGGAAATTATTTAACAAAATAAAAATATCAACTACCCTAAATGTCACGTACCATTCCATTTTGCTATGGAGCTAATGCAAATATCTATGAAAATTACCTTCTGGGAACAATTTTCAACTCTTTGTTCACTGATTACCCTGCTCAGAATTATTTAGGAAAGAAGAGGGGGAGGGAAAAATAGACATATATATATAAAATTACTATACTTAGTATAGTTTTGGTTTACAAAAAACAAAACACAAAAGACCACCTTTAGCAAAATTAAAAATTAAAAGATAATCAACTGGAGAAAAAGAATAAACTAGTTTGGATGACTGAGTTTGGGTAAGGACTTAGAAGCCATAGTTTTAATTCAGTAATGTTAAGATACATGTGGTCACACCTATTTTCCTGTAATTATTGCTAATACTCAAGTGTTAGTATTTCTTAAGAATCCACTATATGAAATTTCCCTGCCCTCCCCTGCCAAGTACCTTGTCTGTGGCTTTATGGTGTCAAGTCACTGAGGCTTGACCTTTATGGTTCTTTCAGTTTTGTAAGGTTAAAAAAAAAGTCCACAGCTAAAAGATTAAACATACTGGAGTTATAATACTATTTCTCTCATAAACTTGTATCTTGAAAAGTGTATAAATAGGACTAACACTTTACTCTGTAGGATGAAGAAGGGAAAACCACAGAAGGCAGAGCTCTGTGCAAATGGCTTTCGTTGCTGGCCAGTAGTAGCAGTATTCAAGAATTTATCCTCTCTTACAATTGAGATGATCTCAGTTAAAGTTTCCTGACCTCCCACTTTCTTTGCAGTTGTTCTGAACACTCACACATACCAGATACACGCCAAAAGTAGAAGAAAAAAAGTTAAAGACAAGGCAGCATTAAATTTAGGCAATGCTTCCAAAAGTTGATCATCTGGCAACATGGCAAACTGGATAGGTTCATTATAAAACAGGAAGTGCAGCATTACAACATGGGGGGATGGGGCAAGGACAGGGAAGGGGTCACTAGTGAAGAGCCCATGTTAAGTTGACTTTAAAAAAGAAAGCAAGCAAGCTTCACACGATCTTCTTAATGCTATTACGTTTGAAACTGCCAGCGCTTCTTTGCTTCTGCACTTGGCTTGCGGATCCGTGGCGAGTTCGTCCACTGTTACAGTGGCCAGTGGTAGGGGAGAGTTCAACGTTCTCCTTGTCGATTCCTGGAGAAAAACAGAATAGCCAGTTACTTCTTCTCTTCCTTCCAGGACTGAATTTCATTATAGTCATGTGTCACTTAACAACGGGGACACATTCTAGGAAACGATCATTAGGCGATTTTGCCTGTGCAAATATTGTGGAGCGTACTTACATGAACTTAGATGGCATAGTCTACTACACACCAAGGCTATACGGTATAGTCTATTTCTCCCAGGCTACAAACCTGTGCAGCAGGTTACCATATTGTGTACTGTATGTGGTTGTAACACAATGCTAAGTATTTGTATATCTAACATAGAAAAGGTACAGTAAAAATACAGTATTATAATCTTTCAGGACCACTGTCTATATGTGTTCTGTTGTTGACTGCAATGTTGTTATGCAGCACATGACTATATTTGTGATAAGATACAACCTGGCAAATTGTTTTTGCACATTTCATTTTAATAGTCAATT